AGGTGGTTGGATTGGGCTGTCTTTGATATGCCAATCAGTGAGATCCTTAGCGGTGGTCAAAACCTGGGTATGTTGGGACAGTCTGAGAATTCATCTGAGTGGGTGATCATAGTGACAGGATCAGCCCCTTTGTCGGACAAAGGTAATTATCGGGGATGCACTCTCTCTGATGGAAACCAAGACTACTGGCAACCAATTTCAATCGTTGAGATTTGTTTTGCAAAATATATTTTATATGAGATATAAAAGTATATATATATACTACGGTTTCTAAAATGTTTGCAAAATATTTTAATTCCTGGGATCCACATAAGCAGAGAGTGCAACACTGTTCGTTGCAGTCGAGGGAGAGGTCCTCTCTTGTTGGACAGTGTTTGATAATTATGGGCTGAGAGGTTAAGTGTAAGGCCACTAAGGGTAATACCTAATGGGTTAATCTTGCATCTACCCATAGTCCCTAGGTTTCTATAAGGTGGCTTGGCCCAGGGACCGCTTAATGAAAGTGTTGGGCCCAATAGAAGCCCATGTGATGGGTTTCAGGGGGTGCACTATCCACAATAGTGTATTCGGCCTGGCCTTGTAACAAAGGTTGGGCCGAACCCATGTGGCTGATGTGTAGATCAATGCTTGGGTCCCACACCATACAAAGAAGCCCAATTGGGCAGCAGTTTGGAAGCAGTTTAAGCACATAGACTTATTTGGCTTAAATCCCATTTCGAACTAGCCTATTTTAATTAGTTAAATAGAGGGGGCGGATCTGGGATTAAATCAGCAGATAGGATAAAGTCCTACCCTATCCACTCAGAGAGACCATATCTGAATTTAGATCTAGAAACCTCCTGATAAGATTAGGAGAAGGCTGATCTAATCTGTAGATAAGATAAGGGTCTTATCCTTATCACTTAAAGAGAGTCCAAATTCAGATAATGATCTGATTTAGGAAACTCGTGATAGGATCAGGAGCTGATCTCTTTAAGCCTATAAAAACAGGAGGGGGCAAACCATCCAGATCATCCAAGCATCCAGAGATAAAATCTCAGATAACCAAGGGAGAAGACATCTACGCCATCTTCTGCTCTTGCGTTCTCCTCCAGTTGCCGCCTCACTGCTAGTTCGATCTCCTTGGTGGGAGAAGATCAAGAAGTGTTCTTGATATCAGTCTTTGGAGAAAGGCTGATAGGAAGTTGTGTTCACTGCCTCCATTGGATTCTTCCTGAAGAGTTTGGTTCGTGGGACGGACCCTGCTGATTCTGCTCCTCCATCCCTGTGTCATCTTCAGTGGGAACAGTCTTTGGTGATCTTCTTTGGGTGTGAACACCTCCATTGAGAGATACTATTTCTCTATATCAGGTATATCCCTCTCCTACTGTTTCGTTTCAAATCTGGTTCGGTTTATGGTTCAAGATTGACCATTGAAAAATATGATTTCTCTAAAATAGGGAATACGATTTCCACTTGAAGAGAGAAAAAAATTTTTGAAATTCGCCCACCCTATTCCGCAAGTTTTGGGTGTCCATGTGATGGATCTCTCACTCCCTTCACTTCTATCAAAACACAAAACAAGAAAGTTGTAGAGATTTTCCTTCTCTTTCCAATGCATCTTGAATCATCTCAATTAGAGTCCGGATGGGAGAGTTAGGCCCAAATTACCACGCGGCACCGAAACTGTGCAAAATTACCCGATTAGCCTCATTTTTCACCTAACGCCTTCTTTTATGCCCTTAATCAAAATACAAGAATAGTGAGTCCAATTAGACACTAAATAAGTAACATATTTTTATCCCTAAATATTCATTATTTTACACTAAATTAACACTTAATTGGACTCATTACTCTTGTATTTCGATTCAGGGCAAGCAAGAAGGCAACTGGAGGAAAACAAGGCTAATCGGATGATTTTGCACATTTCGGCACCGTTCAGTAATTGGAGCATAACTCTTAACTCCATACTCCGATTGGGATGATTCAAGATGCACTGGAAAGATAAGGGAGAACTCCACAACTCTCATGTTTTCGGTTTTGACAGATTCGGTGTTCATCAAGGTTAAAATGGGGCCTGAAGTCGGAACAAATTCGTAGTAAAGCCC